GGGGGGGGAGATTCACTCGTTGTCAGCCAGCTGATGAACCTTGTTGAAAACAAAAACCAGAAACCCCGAAAAGAAAAAGCTACAGCTGTAATGACCTGCAAACTTCCAGACAGAGCAATCTGCTATTTTCTGAGTATTGCTGCTTGCTGGACTGAATTGCTGAGATTTCTGTGTACCACTAGTGTGCACGAGGCTTGTACTTGCCTGAGTCTACGTCCGTCCGTGTGCCTACTCTATTTTCCGTGCTGTGTTTCTGTATCTCGATCTGGGGGCGAATGGTAATGGGAATAGACAGAGGGACAGACCCGGAATTTGGCAGCAGAAGAACTTACGAGAAGCTATAGACGGCCAGGGTAGTTGCAGAATTTGATAGGGACCCATTAAACTTTTTCAGCAACTCAGGTAGGTCCAAATAGGCGCAGTAGGCTCAGAGGAAAATCCCAGTAATTTCCAAAATGTTACCGAGGTCTGAGGCAGACTACAATAATTTTCCCGCCAAAGGCAGGAACTCCCAGTAGGTCCAGGGCACCGGCCGAGCTGCAGTGAAATTCGGCCAGGAGTCACTGGTAGGAAAGAGTATATCATTCGGTGCCAAGAACAGTAGAGGCTTTTTGATGTGTTCTCCAGTCGCAAGCTGTGAGGCTGCATGAGTGCGCACCGGCTGGGTGAAGCGCTGGTTGGAGGAGGAAGGCAGAGCTTGGCCCCCATCCGAGCTATTGTGGAGGTGACCAAGGCCGAGGTGGGAGACCACATGACTTTGGACGAGAAGTGAAGAAAAAGGACAACGGAGGAGGAGGAGGAAGAGGAGGAAGGAGGACAGTGAAGAAGGGAGCATACCTCTTCATCTTCTTGGTTGGCGCAGCACCTGGAAGGCCCCAAGTGGGGTGATACTTGGAAGGAAGACTCCGGTGATGGAATGTGGGATGGCGGCCATAGTGGAAGAGGCATAGTAGCCGAGAGTTGTCCTTCGAATATCGGAGCTAGGCTCCAATGGTCCGCCATCGCCACTGGCTTGACCAAGCAGTAGAAATGGGTGTTAGGATGGATATGGTGGACTTCTTGAGTGGCTGGCCGTAAGGGGATGATTCAGACATTGATTCTGGTTCATTCATTGTTATTCTTATTCTTCTTGTTCTTATTCTTATTATTAAAGATGATGGGGGAGATGATGGAGGAGAAAAATGGTGGTGAGTTGAGGGAGAAGTGACACTGGTTCTTGCTTGCGTTGATCATCTTCTTTCGTCCATTCTCCTTTCTTCCTCTTTTATCTATTTCTCTTCCCAATCTCTTTCATATCAGTTGCAGTTGAATGGCACTGTCGTTCTTTGAGATTTTGCACTGTGAGACACCCCGGCTCATAACACAGCCCTCTCTCTCTCTCTCTCTCTCTCTCTCTCTCTCTCTCTCTCTCTCTCTCTCTCTCTCTCTCTCTCTCTCTCTCTCTCTCTCTCTCACACACACACACACACACACCTGTCTCTTATACACATCTAGATGTGTATAAGAGACAGCACACACACACACACAAACACAAACACACACACACAATCAGTTTTATGTCTGTCAGTCTTTCTTCTGTTGTATGTCCTCCCCTTTTTTCTATGTACTTTTTGTATGCCCAACTGAGCACCCTTAAGTAGTGCCAAACAGTCGGTGGTTCCTCGTTTGGAGTGCCTACTGCACTCTTATGGGGGCTGCTCGGTTCGGGATGTTTGTATTGCCTGTCGGTGATGGCGGATGTTCGTTGGAGTGACTCCCTGGCTCAGTGGGTGGTGGGAACCAACAGTCTGCGGGGTTCAACCGTGATGTGAGTAGGTCATGTGCTGCTTTGCTCCGTGTTGGATGTGTGGACGTCCTTGTCTGCGCTCCGCCGCTGCCGTGCTGCCTGTCCCGCTTGCTTCGCGTGTGGCTCTCTGCAAATTGCTGTGTTCGCTGTGTGGTATGGCCATGTTGTCCGTGTTGCCTTGCGCTTTGCTGCTTCGCTGCCGTGCTGCTCATCCGCTGGCTGTGCCTTCCATGTTTGCTGCTTGTGTGCCCTGTAGTTTGGTTGCCTTGGTGCTGATGCCTTGTGCTCTGCTCCACCGTTGCCAAGCTGCTGGTCCACTCGCCCTGTTGTCCCTTGCAGTGTGGCTTCCCTGCTTGTGTTGCCTTGTGCTTCACTAGATGGTTGCCGTGCTGCATGTCCTGCGTGCCATGTCGTTCCTTGCAGTCGTTTTCGGCGTTGTGCAGCCGTGTTGCCTCTACTGTGTTGCCTGGTGCTCCACAGGGTTGCTGCCGGCTGCTATGTTCCGCTTGGGGACAGTCTGCCTTCAACAAGGGTCAAAGGGTTCATGACCCAAACCATCAAATACCGAGATTCCGCAGATTGTCGAGGGTTCAGCCTCCTGATGAGTTGGTGCAACTCTGACAAAACAATCTATCATCATCAGTTTTTTTTTTTTTTTTTCGGTCTTTGTTTCTTGCCTTGTGCTGTTTGTTTACCCACCCTCCAGCCTGTCCTTTGCTGTTTTCTATTCTTCTGGCCGCTTTGCTGTTTTTCGATACTTGTACTTATGCCCTCCTGCCTCCCCCATACGTTCGGCCTATGTGCTGCCTCACTGCTTGTTCCTGCTCTCATGCCTCTAAGTTCATGTGCCTCCCCAATGCGTTTCAACCTATGTGCTGCCTCGCTGTGTGTTCCTCCTCTCGTGCCTCTTAAGTTCACGTGTCGTATTGTGGTTTGTCATGCTATGGTGTTGGTTCCCTTCCCTTTGCCTCGCTGCCCTTTGCCTTCCCCCCTTCCCTCCGTTTGTGAGGTGTTATTGCGTGTGTTCTGTTCAGTCTGAAAAAGAGGAGGCGCCACCCACCCCCCTCACTTTGTCTTACTGCTTTCGCATATTTGGCTGCTTTCGACTTTACGACCCTTTAAACAAGTACCCTCACCACAAATGGACACACAAATGGTTTTACCCCGCCGTGTTGAAAAATCGCCCCCCGCGCTTTGCATCTTGCCCACAGTGTGCCGACGTGTCTGGTCGGAGCAGCACGGGTATGACATGTCGTACTCGTGCGAAACTCATGTGACACACACATGCACGTGCGTGTAGAAGAGACTTCCCGGGGGGTGGTGGGGGGCATGGGGGTGGGTGACGACGGCATGGCAGCATTTTTTTGTGCTTCATGGCGACGGGTGACTCCGCAGCAGCAACAGGTGTTGGCAGCTGCGGCTTGGGCAGGGCAACATCCAAAGTCATCTGCAACGGTGCTACCGGGCCACATGACTTTGGCAGGGCGGCTTACACAGGGAGTCGCCAGGCTGATCTCGTCCTCCCAAGTCACGTGGCCCAGGTAGCGCTTCCCAGTCCGGCCAGCCCAGCCCATTTGCAACAGGGGCGGACCACAACGTGAACCGATCAGACAAAATTCTGAACAGCCCACTATCCAGGCTGCCTGTCCCTGTGAATGGCCCAGATCGACGGCCGATCAGAACTTTTTCTTGTCAGTTTGCGATCTACGCCGTCTGTGAGTCTGATAAGCCTGCAACCTGGGCCGTTCCTTATGAAGATTAGCAGTTTCTATAGTCTTGTAGATTTCTCTATTTACAACGGGCCAGGATATTCCTCTATACATTCGTGACAACCTACACAGTATTCTTGCTTCATGGGGAGACGTCGCTGAAAGATCTTTCTAGCACAAGTCCTTTTTGTTGAGTTGATATCTTTGTCGGTTCCAGACCGGTAACGGTCCCCAAGGAGGCATTCAGGAGGCATTGCTCATGCTGTGTTCACACACGCACAAGTCCATCATAGCTCTGCATCATGACTCCCTTGGGCAAAAGTGCAGCCGACAGGCATTCCCCACTTATGCAACCACACACGCCCACACAGACACACGAAAACATGCAAAATCCTTGTTGGTCCTTTCAGGAGGCATTCCTCATGCTCTGTTCACTATGTTTGCTGTCTGTCCGTCCCTTTCCTTTGCTCTCGATGTGCATCGGCGAGCTGGAGATGTGCCTTTTGCACTAGCACGGGGACTGGTGTGTTCAAGCTGCCTCTGTGTCCATGTGTTTCCCCCAGCAGTGACAGATCTTCAGCCCAGTGACCACATGAGGGTGGCATGAATATATAGTCAGGCTGATAATCCGATTTTGTCTTTGCTGTATGCGCTGGCTGCTGTGTTTGTTTTGCCCCGTCACCTTGCTGGCTGCCTTGACACCTGCCAGCCCGCTCATTCTTGTCTTGCCTTGCTGCCTATCTTCCCGTTACCTGCCTTGCTGCCTGCCATGCTGCCTGCTTCTGTTGTGTTGCTGCTGCCTAACTTGCCCGCCTGCCTGCCTTCTTCTCTTGGTGCCCGCCCTACTGCCTGCTTGCCCTGCATTGCCTGCGTATGTCGCTGACCACCTGCTTCCCTTGTTGCCTTGTTGCCTTGTTGCCTTGTTGCATGCCATGCTGCCTATCTGGCTGCTCAGCAACTTGCCACTCCTTGCATCGTCGCCTTGCTGTCTACCTTGTCACCCACCTGCAATCCTTTCGGCCTTCTTGCTGTGTGACTGGTTGACTTGGTGCCTGCCTTCCCGAATGCCTGCCTGCTCACTCACCCTGTTACTTGCCTGGTTGCCTTGCTGCCGCCCACTTCACCCCCTGCATTGCACTACTGTCTGCTTTGTTGCCTGCCTTGTTCCCTTCACTGAAAGCAGCTCACAGGATTCTGCAGACTGTCAACGGCTAAGCCTCCTGATGAATTGGCGAGATGCAATGAAACAGTCCGTCGTGAACCCCTTTTATCCTGATCTTTGTGAGTGTTTTCCAGCAGTTCTGTCCTAAAAATGAACATTTCATTTTGCAACGAGTACTAGAAACCTACGATAGAATGGGCATGGAACTTGAATATATTCTTGTGGGCTTTCAATTTAGATTCATGCCAAGCAAATGGTTCTACGATAGAATGGGCATGGAACTTGAATATATTCTTGTGGGCTTTCAATTTAGATTCATGCCAAGCAAATGGTTGAGGTGCAAAAATTCGTTGCTCCAGGCCAGATATTATCAGGACGTGTGTGTGGTGATGCACTAATCAAAACAGACAAACACTGTGGGAACAGCACATGGGTTCAGAGTAAGGAGGAGGTGAGAAGGATTGGGATAAGAAAGACGCAAAGTCAGAAATGGACTTACGTGTCTGGTGATGTGGTTCTTCTCAGAGCCTGTGGACATCCCTCATGGCCAAGTTCAAAAAAGTATGCCCATCATTGAACCCATTTGCCATAACAACACGGCAACAACAGAGAGACACAGTGTCAATAGGAGTCATTCGTTTGTTCATCCGAGCATGTCTATTGTACTGGATGGCTATGTCTTAGTCGTCCGTGATGGCTCCGAAACTCCGATTGTCGACTGAACCAGAGCTAACCGGGCCTCACAGACTCACAGTGGTGCCAGAGCTGGTCACATCCTTGCTCTCCCACCGCCTATCCATACCATAGCCATACGCCACTATTCCTACTTCCCACACTCTCCATGTCTACTCATCAGGGAATTAGAGACAACCCAGCCCACCGGTCACACATTCCTGTTGGCCCACATTCCTTCCCATGTGCAGCATTCTTCGTTCGGCAATGAAACAAGCTTTTTCAGAACATGCTAATACTTCTAACTCCTTGACAGCCTCTCAAATCTTCATCCATAGGGCCGTCATTCGAACAATCACTGGAGTCTCGTCACCCGCCTTCATCTACACTGGCCATAAATCCCTCCCTCATTCTCCCCATCCTCACGTTCATTGGCATTATCATTCAAACACCCTCCTCTTGCATGCATGAGGCTACCGTATGTGGAGTTTCCTCCACACCTCAGGGTACCTAATTTGGATCACAGTGCACTGTTCAAACAAATGATTACATCACACCACTGCCTTCAATGCTAGCCAAACAGGCCCGTCTGTCCAGTCTGCACACTGAGTCACCATGGCCTGGTTGCCATTACCCTACCCACAACGCTGGCTCTCAGCTTGCTGCATGGAACTAGGAAAGCTGCCTTGCAGCTATGTGGAGGAGGGAGTCAACCTCCCTCCCAACACAGCCCTCGCTCACCGTTTTTGCAGCCTGCAGTGCAGGTGACCTCAACCCCAGAGACAGACAATTGCGTCTGAGACAGTTCTGCCCATGCACCATATGCCAAATGGCCAATGCCTTGTTGAAGCATATCGTTGACAAGATGGACCAGTGCGGCTCCGCTGCCCATACACCATATGCCAACAGGTCGATGCCACGTTGGAGCATATAGTTAACAAGATCGGCCAGTGTGGCTCCGCTCACATAAAAGTGGAGTAGGGAAAGAAGATTTAATGATTAGGAGAGAGAGGAAGGAGGTGTTCCGAGGGTCCATGGATGCCGGAGGAGGCAGTGCCAGTTTGCATATATCTGAACATTTACAGGATTGTTAAGTGCCCAATGGGAAAATTGCAAGAATTGAACTCAAATTTCGAAAGGTGCAATCAGACTCGTTCTCAAACACACTTTTCATGCATGTAAACAGCAACGCAGCATACTGGCGACATGCGGCCACTCAAAAACTCGAAGATATGGCTTTCAGATACGAGTTCACTCTCAATTAGCTATGGCGACTTCAGCGCCCAAACATCTCACTGTTCACATACACGGGATCACCCTGGA